TTTTATAACAACTTTTATTAATGAACAAATAGTGCAACAACTTATACATGGCAGTAGATAAAAAAATTAAATTGTATTTTAAGTTAGTAAAAATCTATCTTGAAAAAGTGTAGGAAAATCGAATTTTTTAGGTACCAGATGTACTGAATGCTGCTATTAAAAGTTGGATTTGGAAATTTATTTTTATGAGCTTATATTTCGAAAACTTAATAAGTAATTTAAAAAATAAAAATAGTTTTGAACATATATTTTACTTATCTACCCGTATCTCGCTGTAATGATCCTTATACTGAAATACAGTGTATAAACATTGTATGTATTTTACACCCTTCTTCCACCTTAAGACTACACCTATGACAACCAGTCGATCGCGACACACTTTTAAGATAAAAATTAGATCTTATATACAAAAAAGTTGGCCACCGCTGCCCTAGATAATAGAGTAATGTTTGGACGGCTTTTGCAGCCTTCGGTTTACATAACTGTTTTTTTTTTCTTGGGTGAGAAATGTTTTGAGGGGTTAGGTTTGTATTTAGAAAAGCTGCGTAAATAGGCGTTTTAAATTCATTTTAGAAGCAAAAATTTAATAGGAGGGGAAGAAATTTGATATGTAACTGTTCTCTGAAAAGCCATATGGTTTATTATACATAAACACACTCACCTTAGCAAGTATCCAATCAATCACTTTGCAATCGGCAGAAATAGAACAAAAGTTCGGTTGGCCATCGATGTTATCAGGCAGCCATTTTACCTTAAAAAAGTATAATTTTTAATCTTAGTTATTCTACAAAATTTACAGTATATTGCATGAAACATATCCACTGCATATCGTTTTAAACTATAAAATTGCGTTGGCAATGAAGTTAATTGAGCTTATAAATATGCTTAAAATAAAGTAAATATGCTTTCTTTAGGTTGGATTTCGCACACTATTAAAACTTTTTTTTTTGTCCGCGTGGGCATTTATTGGAACTTAGAAAGTGAGGTCTCAGGTTTATCAAAAGCAACTATACATTACGAAAGAGTTTTTATTAGATTTGCCAGATAAACAGGAAAGCAACTAAATAATATTTGTTTAGCGCATAAGATGCACAAGCATAGTATTAGGACAACGAAGCAGAACATCAAAAATGACGAAGTAGTATTTGAAGTATATATTCTAGCTAAGTTAACATTGCCTTTAATACTAACAGTAAATTACTTTAATTTAATTACTTACTGAATTCGAATTTTACAGTATATCAAATAATAAGGAATTAATAGTAATTATCAATAATTTTACTGTCGCTGTAATTAATTTTCTATAAGTCTGAAGTTCTCTGCCTCCTCTCGTTTACACCAGTAGTCATTGTTGAGAGGGAAGAATAAGTATTTCGATAATAAGAGATAATTAAGATATATGCAAATCTCAAATAGTACAACTGCTTATATGATGCAATTCGTATGACTGCTTTTAAGGATTTATAACAGCAAGATGCAGAACTGCTAACTAAACGTATTATTACCATTTAAACGTATAACAATAAAATGAATTGGGTTTACATCCGAGCTTACTACACATACATTGATTTACAATAATTTAAAGTTGTACTCAGAAACAACTTTTAAGCGACAGCAATGAAGGTTATAATTTATATAATATGTTAATTAAAATATAGTTGAAAGACCTACTTTTTCCATCTCGCTTAAAATTTCACTCGGAGTTTATCCACATCTACATTAATCCTTATTTCGGTTTTATATCACTCTTCATTTTAACTGCTGTCGTTATTTTTTCACGTATTACCAGATGCTCAATTTAATTTTAGTTTTAAATCTATATTTATCAGACACTATTTTCTTTTAAATCTATTCATTGAACGTGATTCCAAACTTAGACATCTGCTTACAGGGCAAATGCTGCATTAAAATACAGAAATCTAAAGCACCTTACTTGAGTTATTAAACGAGATTAAAATTGAGCAGTTGTTTCCTAACATTAAAGTATTAGAAGAGTAATTTTAAGTGTTATTTATATGTACTTCTAAGTGCCAGCAAGTAACGGACAATACTGATTTTGTTCTCTTATTTAACTGTATATGTCTACTGCAAAATGTTATATATAGTCAAAATTGTGAATATAGCCGGCGGATCCACAGGCATGTTCTTAAATAAGATTAATAAAAAACATGCAAACGCACATCCTAACTTTTCGATACTGAGACAAGAGTTTATATAGGTGTCGGAATTTGGAGTCGTCAAATTAGTTAAATGGGAATTCGCGTATCAATTTTAATTCAATCAAAAAATAATACAATGTCACTTAAACACTCTTAAAATACTTAATGAAATAGTCAAAAATTCATTTATTAACTGGCTGTAATATTAGGATTTGTCGGATAGTATAGCCAACACTTTGTTAGCCCGCATCAATAACTGTAGTATTACTGACCGGTTATGGCTAGTTATCTTGAATATCAAGTGCTTCTTATAATGGCTAGCTGTGTTATACTCAGGTAGATGTGTATTATAAGCAAAGGCGAAGTGGTAGTCAGATGTTGTCTGACCAAGGATAGCTCGACGTGGTTGGCAGTCTGCCAACACCTTGTCTTTAAAGTAACCTAAATAAGATGCAGGACAATTTTTCGCAAAAGGCAGAAAAGAAGGAATTCCGTTTCCGAAAGAATGATATGGTTTAATAGCAAGTGGACCGTGAGTGTACTTGTTAGGAACTGTAAATGAACTTATTTCTTGCAGAAGGATTTAGTTTACTACAGTGATACTGATAGTTTCACGCAAAACACTTTTATAACTATTATAAGGAATGAATTTGAACGTCCTATTGGTTTTTGTAAAAGAATTCTTAAAGTTTTTCTTTCCGACAAAGCCAACAAGGTAGGCCTTTATATCTCACGTTCACTCAGTACATCTCAACGGAAGATAAGAGAATGTGGAATCTATTCTCTCGAATTAAAAGTATAATGATAGTGACAACATAATTTCTTCAAATCTTAGAGCTGTGTTTCTAGCTGAGGTATCGTAACATACTAACGTGTTATGAGGCTCCATGAAATGATCCAAGAAATATTCAGATCTAAATAAACATTTTTAAAATTCGCAACTTTACCAGCATCATGTTTGTACAAATCAGTAGTTTTCAACAACGAAAACAAGAAAATACATTTAATTTAGAAAAAAGATTAATGCATCTTCGATACCTCTTGCGTATTGGTTTAGAAATAGTAAAAACATGATTCGGCATATTTGTGAAACAAATGGAACACAAACTTGATATTAATAAATAAATCAAAATATAATATTCGCAAGGAAAATAATACATAATATAAATTAAAGTTATTATCCAGGATTAAGATATTCGGTTAAGTGTGTCAACTGGAAAATTCTCAGAATTATTAACTAAAGATATTGCGTTTAATTCTAGCTCTGTCTTAGCTCTGTTCTTCTAGCTAATTCCCATGTTTCTTTTGTGAAAGTATGACAGCTAATACAGCAAAGAGACTAAACTGGAGGGAAAATGGGTTCTGAAAAGATTTCTAGAATTTGAAGGAAATATTGAGTAAACTTCTTGAAGAAGAAGATCGTATCACATCTTGATATGATCTGCCAGGCTAAGTTCTTAAAAATAAGTCTTGTGAAGCATGGTTTTTTTTAAATCAGTACAAAATTACGAGGAATAGTCTAGGTACCTCTGAAACGAAAGTCTATTTCAGAGTTCTCTAGTCTATCAAAAGTAAAATTAAAGTAACTGACAGTACTTTTATCAGCCTAAATATCTGAAGACAGCTTTTATCTTATCTTTTTCATGAAATGATAATAACTGAAATAGAAAAAGAAGAATGGAATTTCTCCAAAAGGTGCGACTGTTCTTGGAATAAGAAGAAATATAAATGTGCAATCAAAATGTTTGTTGACGTTATGCTAAAACAACTTCAGAGTTTTGTTTTTTAATCAATATTAAATCCATTTCTTGAATACATATTTAAAGAAATTCCCAGAAAATCTACCTGCAATAAAGGAGAAATAAGATGATTTTTTCCAAAACGAGACGAGTTCAGCTTTAATATTATGACGTAATATTGGTGAATGTTGTATAGTAAAAATGTATTTGCTTAGTTATATATTGCAATATAAAATCATCAAAGCAAATTATGAAGCATCGTATGTGGTTGATGAAATATAAGATAACTTTTAGGTTTCGAATCCCATTTTTCCATGAAACCAAACACTCTTGAAATAATTTTATGATCTTTAGTTTTATATTCCGTAGATTCTGCGATGCATTTTAGTTCAGAGTTTCAGCCATATGAGCCGAACAAAGAAATTTGAACATTAAGAAGTAGCTGCAATTAATTTACCCTCGCATTTTTATGATATCTCTAAATGCATTAGTTATTTTCCGTATCACAGAAACTTACGTACCTGATTGACGGCATCATTGTGCTCAAGTCTTGAGTTCTTATTGATGGCAACTGGAGAGCTTCCTGCTTTGCGGACATCGTGCACCGCCACTGATCCATCCGCGAGTCCAACGGCTAAAAGATGAGGCCGATACGGGCTGAATTCCACGCAGCAGACACCAGACTTACAAGAAATAACTTTCTCTGGATGGGACGGGCATTTCAAACTAAATATGCATACACATCCTGACCTATGACGCATTGTGACGTCATCTGAGGGTAAACATAATAAATTTGTTTCTATTAAGTATGTAAAAAATTAAATGATAATTTAACAATTAAGACAGCTTAGGCTCAGACAAAATAACGCTCATTACACTTGAATATCTTCAAAAGGTATACGAATTCCAACAATCTAACAACTTCTAATAGTATTCTGTTAACTTAGCTTTCTTATCTTTTAACTTAAATGTATAAAAATTATTGAGCTTATACGAAACTGTTTTCCAAAAAATTATTTCTAAAGTGCTAGAAAATGTAGCTATTAAAAGCACTCTTGAATGTTCGAAATTTATAAGAAAAGGGAACGCTGTTAAAGTCTCAAAATTTTACAGTAGAAATTCATTTGGAAGACGTTATTGAAAACATTGGATTGCATGAAAATTGGATCAAACAAATTGTCTCGAATAGCTCAGAACTTCTGTTTAAAATCTACTTGTTTCGAACAAGATTTTACATGGGAAAGTTTCCGTTCTGCTAACTCTGTAAATTACATTTTACCAAAAGGATTTTTGCACAGAATCGTCTTGTAAATGAAAACGGATCATTAAAAATCGCCACAGAGATATTCCCAAAGCAAATAGTTAGATAATTTTTACTTAATGTGTTCTATAATTCATAGCTAGTATTACAAGCAAAGTTTTACGAAACAGATTTACCTGAGAAATTTATTTCATAATAAATTCCTCGCTAGAGCATTATCAGAAATCGAAAGTATCTGTGGAAATAATGTTATAATACAGAAACTAAAGGAGGAATTGGTACAGTTTACTTTCTCAGAATTAACTGCCAGTTAGATACCTCTAACAGATAAGATCACCAGGAAAAGGGTCACTATTAACGGAAAATCAAACAATTATTGTTTCTTCATTTTGTAAGCTTACCATGAAAGCTTATTATTAACATTTCCGAGTTCGTACTTTGCAGCAAAAATGTTTGCACACTATTCCATATACCTATATTTTTAATATTTTACTTTATTTGTAAATTGATGTATTTTATTTCAATTCTTCTATAATTTATGTTATTAAATTTCTTTGCAATTGATTTTTACGAAACTTTCTAGAAGTACAAAAATAGAGTATAAAATTAGACATTCCAAATTTACACACTAATTTATTACATTGTTTTCCAGAACAAATAGAATAAATAAAAAAGGAATGGAATGCAAAATTAGATAGCCTACATTCACGCTCCAGTACTACATTTAAACTCATTTACATAGGAATTATTCGCCTTTTATTTTTAGGCCTCAGCGCTAAATTAATGTGAAGTCCGGGTTGGCTTACTCTCAAGTAGTAAATACCGTATATTTGAAACGATGCATATTGAGTTAAAGACATTTTGTCCATTTGTCCCACAGATGTAATTGTCAGTACACACAGCTAACCATCAGAAGCTTTTGAATTTGAATCTTGATAAAGGCACGGTTTTATGTCAGCAAAGCTCGCGTGCTTTTCTTCAACTAATTATTTTGAGAACAAATAGTTACTGTTTTCTTGTATTACAAGTCAAATTATTGTTGCGTTTTTCCCTTCACGTTAAAGGGTTAGTGGATTTGGAGTGAACAACGATGACACTTGATGAAGTATCAAAACACAATTTATTAGCCAATATTATTCAAGAGAGTCCAATAACACGTTTACAGTCGTCGAAGAACTACCATAAACACTTTAAAATAATCAGCGACAAGCTATCAGGCTATAACGCAGCAGACAGCTTCAAGACAAAGCACCAGAGTACAGCTTCCGACTCGGGTCAGTCGTTCTCGGAACTTTACGTACTCTCGAGACACTCCGCTATCAGGCTATAACGGTGACGATGGCTTCACGGCAAAGCACCAGAGTACAGCTCCCGACTCTGCTCAGTCGTTCTCGAAACTTTACGTACTTTCGAGACTCTCCACGCAACAATTCGCGATGCACTCGCGATGCACTCGACGATACACTAGAGTAGAGCTGCCGACTCGGTTTGGTCGTTCTCGGAGCTCATCGCACTATAAGATAAAACTCGACGATGCACTAACTCGCGATACGCTAAGAGACTCCCTCGATGCACTCGACGACCAACTCAGCACTAGACTTCGAGACACTCACTTATTGATTCTTAACTGACTCAATTAGGCACCCACTGACTGACTATCAACTCGATGGACTCCACACTCCGTGTAGCAGCAGGGTTTATATAGCTTTTGGCTTGCATTCGAGAACCTTCTGGTCCAAATCAGTACGAATTCGTTCTAGAAGGTTCGCCATGCGTCTATGGCATATCGCCAATTTTGTCGCCAAATGAGCGATTTATCGCCAAATGTGGCAACCCTCCCTTAACTTGCCATTTTCTGGAAACCCTAAACCTGCTTTGAGGGGAAGCTATCTTACCGCGGCTGGATATTTCCTAACAATATCGGGGTGACGCCATATATCGGCCACAGATGAAGTCTTCGTTGGATAAGCTATAATAGCAACTAATAATTTTGGCATATCTTTTACACATTATCGTAGATTTGACACAATATCGTACAGTAAAAATGGAAAATAATATATACAAGTCCCAGAATTTTTTTTTTTTCTTTCGTCTGAGGCGGAAGTACCTATATCTTAATACTCATAGAGAAAATAGACTGTAACGTGATATACGAATTTAATGATGATAAAGTCAGTAGCCTTGGTACCGGGCAAAATCCATAGTAAAATGAAAATGATGCAGACGATTCCGCCATTAAGACGATGATGTGACTGAAAGATGTTTACATGTAAAAGACGGTCGATTCTCTTCATCTGTAAACATTACCTATGTAAATTCATCCTTCTACACATTTAATCATTTTGTAGTTTGTAGCAACTATTCATGTTTCCATTTAAATATTCAAGTTATTTGTAAATTGGACTAGTTTATTAGCCCCTAGACAGCCACAAAAGAAGTAAATTTACAGACATCATATTCCTAGACAGTAAGTACCGATTCTACAAATAATGAAAGATAGAAGTGCAAGATTGTCCACTGTATAAAACTTGAGGAACAGACGTAAGCAAGCACACTGATTAGCAGACGTAAGCAAGCACACTGCACGCTTGTGTTTTTAACATCTTTTCACAGTACCCGCTTCGAAACTGTGAGCAAGGAAATATTGAGGATGCAAAAAATGAAAGTTTTAGGAAATGCGTGCGTGCGGATGTATATTGTGTGCTTAAGTGCTTTTCTGTTTACACTTTCCGCGAAATGTTTGTGAGTATTTTTTCATGAACATCATGCAGCTTTTTAAATGGGATTAGGTTGACTGAATTTCTGCTTCGCAAATAATTTTCCAATTTGTGGTCATTCAAAATACCTCCTCTGATCCAAAATGCCTCCTCGGAATATTATTTGCATTACATTAAGAAATTTGTATCTTACACATTTATAATCCCAGTGTATTTGAATTTAGTAGTGTTAGTTTAATATGTAATGGAGTGAGATATAATGTTTCAGGATTTACAAGCGCTTAATTGAGCTAAACGTTACTCAGATTCTTGATACATATTTCTGTTCTCATATTTGGGAAAGAAAGAATTTTGTGCAGTTCAATAAAACTCCAAAGAGTACAATAATTCCTTTTATAAAAACCCCTACAACATTTCACTTGTATTTCTCCTGCTGAATTTTTTGTAGAATTATTTTAAAATTTGTTTACGAAAATTTTAAAATGTTTCATTCACATCTATAACCTGGATGAAGGGGTGGTAATGAACTAATGGTAATTTCTCTTCTTTATAAAGAATGACAGCATCATTTGTGATTACAATTATTTGTGATTACAGATAACTTATGACACAAATCAAAACATTCCTCGTAATTTAAATTTCAGTATACCTGCATACATATAATTTAAACTTCATATTCTCAGGAAGCATTTTCATATGCTAAGTGATGTCATTTAAAACTCTACCAGCAAATCCTAAATGCATATCTGAAATCAGCATACATAGAAGACTGTGTAGAGAGTTGAGAAGAACGTACATGATGTATAGAAAGAAAAACTTTGCTTATTCTGAATTAAATCATTGTTGAATAGATAATTAAATTGACTAAATCATTGTTAATAATCAACTTATTACCCCAAAGGGGAGGTAGCCCAGGAGGGCTGTTTTGTGACAAAACGGCATTTTATGGCGTTTCATTATAAATAGCGAATCACTTTTTAAATTTTTACCACCAAATATTACCGCCCTGTATTATATTAAAAAAATTAAATAATGGAGAATTTGCATGAATATATGTATGTTTCTCGCATTGTAAAAAAAAAAAAAAAAAAAAAAAAAAAAAAAACGACGGTACTTAGAGCCATCAAATTTTGAATAACGTAATCCTCCACCCAAAGAGTGGCACCTGGAAGCCCAAATTTTGAATTTCGTATTTGTTTTATTATCTATTTTATATTTTGTAAAACCTTGGCGAATTTTTGATTAGCAAACTCAACGATTTCAAAGCGAGCAATGGCAACACTGTACGAAAAAAAATTATCTCCAGCGCGCAAGACTGTCAATAGGAAATTTTAAAGATATGTTCTTTTCAAATATTTTGTGATATTGCTGTTGAATTTAATTTTATATATTCAAGTGTGAAGAACTTGATATTTAATAAACTAAGGTAACACACAAAACGCTAAGCAAAGTCCCCCTGGTGTAAACTAGTAAACTATAAAATCTGAAAGCTTTCGGATTTTGTAATATTTTTTCTTAGGTTTCCTTAATTTCAAACTTTCATTTATTAAACTAAGCTGAAAGGGCTAATAAATACTCAGCTAACTCATACATAAAGTATAAAATGTTCTTTTCATCTAAATAGGAAAATAACACTTTAAGCTTTTTACGCGAAATATTGTGATTTCGGATCAGAATCGGTGAATTATAGTCTAAATTATTTATAATAAATTTAATAATTTGTTTTTATGAATGGGACTTACGGGATCCAAAAGCAGCTGCAAACATGTCAGAATAGCGACTGTTCCAGCTCAAGCCTGTAATGGCCATACCCCTCATGGGTTGATAATTAAATTTCCATAAAGGCAACAGAGATCCCAGGCCTTTGTCCTTGAATTCGTCACTTGGCGTATCGTAAAAACTATAATCTACAAAACAGGAAAACATCTGTGTGTTCAATTTTAAAATTAAAAAAAAAATATGTGAAATTTATGAGATATCTTTCTTACCAATGCTGATGTCAGACATTAAGTTTTGATCTACCATTCTTTCGCAGAAACGAAGAAATTTGAGGTGATGCGAAAAAATCAGTGCCTGAAAAATAAAACAGTTTTGATTAAGAATTTTTTAACTATAGAATGGTATATTGTTTCAGACCATTACTACGGTCCATTGTCAGCATAGAAAGGATGTTTCGCAAATGAAACTGTAGCTATTCCAAAATTGAAGATATTTCTGATTATGTGTGATCATGAAGTTATTTGTTATAAAATATCATGGCTGCCATCGATCCAAATGAGAAGAGAATGTGTTTTGAAAGTCATAAAAAAGTAAAGCATTCAAGGTTTCAAATCTGAATTTTCATTACTCCAAGCATTCTAGAATTTTTATTATCTACTTGACTGTGTTTATTTCCTTGCCACGTCTTTACACAATTATTTACATATTTAAAGTTAAATCTGCTTAAATCAGAAGGAGACTAACAGAATAATAATCGAATGGTACGATACTAAAATATTGCAATGAAAATGTTTTTTTTTAAAAAAGCACAGTAATACGTTAAAAGATTTTGATCTCTTTAAAAATAAAACATTATTAGTATTTTGAGTACAGACAACATTTATTATAGCCATAAAAAAATCAGTATGAATATTTCATTTTGATCTCTCCTAAAAATTTATTAAAAATTAAAATTAGTAACAGTAACTAGAAAATAAAAATTTTAAATTTTAATAATATTCAGCATGTAAAGTTTGGATATTATTACGATACACTCTGCTGAAAAAATGGTAGTGATTAGGGGACCTATTGCAATACCGAAGGGCCGGGCTTTAATCCGCAAGAAGGCATGAATGTTTGTAAATCTATAGTGCTTTTGCACAAGGAGGCACTCTAAATACATGGCGAGCCGAAAGTCCTCTCGAGAAGTTAGGGGTAGGAAAAGAGGGGGCTGAAGACCCTCTGACCCGTCCCCCAGGGGGGTGCTCTCCATCAAAACTGGGGAGGAACTATAGAGGTATTGTCATCTGTAAGGGTGCTCAAGTCTCTAGCCAACGGCAGGCGCAATCTTGTTCTACTTGCAACGATGAATTTCGCTGGTTTGTTCTAATGTTACTGTCAGACAAGTGAGAAAAGTCACAACACAACACGATACACTCTCATACTAAAGGACACCAGAAAATGCTGCGATGTTAAATAAATTTTCATATTTAACAGGAAAAATATCGAGTGCGTGCCCAGGGAGTAAACAGATTAACAAGATAATTTTTGTAGTTAGGTATGAAAACCAACCGTCGCAACACTTTTATGAATTGCATGTGTTATGTTACCTTGTAATCTTTTGCAGTCCTCGGATTACCACTGCCCACTTCCTCCTCCCTTCTCTCTTCCCATAGAAAAAAGCGAAGGAGACGCAAAAAAAGAAAAATTCCTGAGATCTTAATAGCCACAGTCTTTTGAAAATGAAAAGGTATCCGAGTAAATGATATAACTGTTGAGAAAACATTCTAAGCTGTCCAATATTAAAAAAAAAAAAAATCTTAATTATGTAACAGTAATAAAATTAGGTACTTTTATCTTGTCGATGCGGGGTTCAGAAATGTAATGTATGTGTATATATATGCGTATGTATGTAATCTACAGTGAAAATCGTTTAACACGAAATTGAGGGGACTGAAATATTTTTTCGTGTTAAAAGAACTTCGTGTTAAAGGATAATGAAAAAAAAAAAAAAAAAAAAAACATGTATTCAACAAAATTAAGTTTATTAGAGTTAATTTTATTGACATATATATGTATACATGCATGTATTTAATAAAAATCGATGAAGCAAAAACATCCACAAGAACTTAATTTAATACAACATTTTCAAGTTTTTTGAAAAAGAAAACAGTTATAGAGTTTTTGGAAAATAATCTTTCTTTGGAAAATAATCTTTTTTATTTTTCTTCGCATTGTCTTTTTTAGCATCAAATTTTCAACAAATTTTTCGATGTCGTCTATTTTGTTATTCATTTCACCATTGGAATATGCGTCTAAATAACTTATCATACTTTTCATGATGTTCTTCATTTCGGATGACTTGGGAACAGGAGTTGCATTATTCATTTCATTTTCATCGTCGGAATCTGCATCAATGATATTTTTTTTTAGCTTTGAGGAAACTCCAAAATGTCTTTGTCTGCCATAATTGGTGCTGTACACACATTATCATCAGCTACTGCAACGAATTCTTCCGATGATACAGTAGGACAGTTCAATAATACAGAAACTATCTCAAACAGTTCCTCAAGTGTCGGATCAGTTTCAGTATCCTCCTATTCTATTTCTTTTGGCGCGAAGCAAACTACTGATTTTTGCACACACTGCGATGTACTCGCCACCGAATTCCAAAGCCACCTGATGACAGATGAGATATTTTTGTGTGGCGTTTGTAGGAGTGGAAGTTGAGGTAGCTTAGATAAACAAAGTTGGCTCGTGTCCCAAGCTGTTCCGAGGGTATTTCAAAGCCAAGTTAGCCTCCTTTCTAGGAAACATATGAAACCATCTTTCTTTTATTTCTCACACCTCTTAATAAATCTCGCGTGCGATGCTGGGGTTTTCCATATTTTGTTCATTCCCAGAAAGGAAATCTTTTCGTGTTAAGCGATTTTCGTTTCGTGTTAAAAGAAACAAAATGCATGAAAATATATAGTAGTTTGTCGGAACTGTTGTATTATTTCGTGTTAACCGAAATTTCGTCTTAAGCGTTTTTGCGTTAAACGTTTTTCGTTGTATGTATGTATGTATGTATGTATGTGTATACACGCACATGTACACGCAGCCGTACATACATTTCTGAATCCGGTCCCAATAACAGAAAAGTACCTAAAATTATTTTAGTGCGTTAATTAGCTATTATAAGCTTTTATATTTTAGCCATGGGACAGAAATAAAAACGTCAATTCAAAATTTAGTCAGGAAGGAAGTGAAAATTTGCTTCACTGAAATTAATTTTCTGTATTCCTTTCATTTAGTTGCTTAATCACAATGTATTTACTTGAGCAGAATGCATTACCTTAGTCTTAACTAAATCTGTGTTCTCAAACTAACTACATATTACAATCATATCTTAGCCTAATTATATACACATTTAATAATTATATTTAAAATGGAAATTAAGAATATTCTTAATGTCTTCTGTCTTGGGTTCTTATAAACCCAAGACATCTCGCATTTTATTAGTGTATGAAACAACAATGCAATATTTTTTTTTTTTTTTTTTTTTTCAAATCTTCCTATTCGATTTTAACTCTCAGAAAAGTTTACCTTGCTCTCTTTTCTCTCAGTTTTTCGGTTCACTTCATTCGATTTCTCTTCTCTGTCTCTCTTTTCTCCGGCCTTCGAAACAAAAGAAGAACGTTATGTCATTTTGTATACAACTTAAAAGGAGGTTCTAATTTATAGTAAAAATCAAGTTTCAATCAAAAGTTTCTTAATTTAAAGTTTTAGTAAATTCATAGTCAAATAATAATAATAATAATAATAATAATAATAATAATAATTTATAAACTTGTTAAAGCACGTCACATAATTAATTAATTCTTATTTATTCTGCTTTAATTATGTTTTTGAAAATATTTTAAGGATTCATTATTAGCTCAGTCTAATTATTTGTAACCTTGCTCTTTTAAATTCTGATTGTGATTTAGAAATGTTTATATTGAACAAAATATTCTAACTTATTAAATAAATCTAATAATAATAATAAGGTTAATCTTTGGATTATGGTAACTTGGCGATTTTTTGACGAAAATTTAGCGACCAACCCCTGCTACAGCAACCTGCTAGTTTTTGTTTGAACTCTATTTTGATTTCACGAAGTAAAGGCATATGTTTTTTTATTATTATTTTATTTTTTTAACAACTCAACATTTTTTTCCAACAATCTGCTAGCCGAATTACGCTTATGCTAGAACTTTTATGGAACAAAAGTGCTTAATCATAACGAAGATTAGGTGCAAAATTGGGAGAAAGTGCAGAATCGCAAACTGCTTGCCGCGTTTTTTAAGAATTGCACATACACGGTATCCATGTACACGTCGACCTATTTTCACTTAAAAAAACATCCCAGAATTGCACAAAAATGGCATTGCGCACACTCTTGACTTTATCCATGTACACTGCTAAAGTCCTAGCTAGTAACCTGTATCGCCTTACCAAAATGTCGCCAAACCTGTTACCATATTCCAAAGATTAGCCAATAATAATAACTGAATGCTCATATTTGCAAAACGTAAATCGGAATTCACATTTCATATACATCTACAAAAAAGAATTGAAAAATAAAGCTTATTTTTAAAATATCATATTAAGACAATTATGATTTATTATTACAACGCGTAGTTATTAATCCGCAATTTTCTGATGTCGTGGCGTGATGCAGATCGTATGAAAATTGCATCCCTTGTTGCAAAGTAAAGATTCACTAACCCTTATAAAAATATTCTATGCTTTTCAAAATATCTAAAGATGCAAAATCCTTATTCCAAGGCCATAACGCTTGTAAAGCATTAATGCTCAAACCGAAAAAACCGATAAGGATCAAAATTTTCTTCTAAAAGGCAATCAACTATATAGCATGAAGCTATTATATGAATCACGTCTTCCTCTTTCCCTGAACAGCAAAAATTTCAAAATTTCCAGAATAGCATCTATAAGGTATTTCTCCCGCCTTCTTAGTATGCCTGCGTGGTGTAGTGGTCAGCACACTCGGCAGGAATTCGAGAGGTCCGTGGTTCGAGTTCCGGCGAGGGCACTGCTCATTTTTCACTACTCTTGCTTCGAAATAACCTAATGTCTATACACATCAACCTTGAATAGAGCTATCTCTGAAACTCAGTCAAAGGATTTGAATGCAACCAGAAACCACGTTGGTGTTCTGTGGCCCAGTGGTCACTTCACTAATGCCAACACAATACGGCGTCCTAAGATATGCTTATTTTGTTTTCCTAGAATTTTTTCAGACATGTCTTGGTGAGCCTTTGCTTAGAATGTAGAGAAAAGTGTGGGTGAAGGTAAAAGTAAAATAAGGTAAAGGTTTTTTATTCTTTACTATTAATTTTTTCGTTTAAAATTTGAAAAATTCTGGAAAAAATAATAAAAGCATAAAAAATTTCAATAGATGATACCCATACATTTCCTTACATCAGACTTTTCATGCCTTTAGAAATTTGCTACAGCAGTATCAAATAACATCAAGTGCATAGAATCGGACAAGACCAAATATTTCATGTAGCACTTCTTTATAGCCGGGGATTTGCTATTGCGGGGTTCAATATATTTCAAAAATTTTGACCAAATTAGTGAAAGGAAATTCTAAAATCTGAATCCAGTTCCTTTTTTTTCCCCGTCGGTCATTTCCTTATCACTTTTATCCTCTTAGTATTCTTCTTATCTCCTTTTCTGAAAACTCCAGGACATAATATCTTAAAAGTTTAGACCAAAATAATATGAGTGAACTTTTAGAAGGCATAGACCCATTCCGTTTATGGCGGCGGACGATGTGTTTCGCTCTTTAAAACAAGAAAACAATTCTCAACTTCCTTGTCTTATCTGAATATTTTTAGTAGGCGATGTTCATGTCCCGAGAGAACAAATTTCCTGGTCCGTGAGAGAATATTTCGTCACGAAAGACAGTAGCGAGGAGTCATATAGTCTTCGGTTATAATACACGGTTAACTTGGGTCAATGATCCACGCATACCTGAAGCTGCAGTAGCTAGCATATAGTAGAATCTGCCTTCATCTTGGATCGCCAATAGTCTCCTGCGTTTCGCGTAAATTTCCCCGAGCTGGCAACTCGTAACGTTCATATATTGGAAGTGGACAGTATAGGAGAGATTAGTTGCCTTGACAGGACTAGAAATTAAGGTGATCCTTTCAGGCTTGACAGGGACTGTAAGGATGCTGTCAAATTTGTATCAGGCTGTGGCGACTGCTACATGTTAAGCATTGTTAAAGGTTGATCTTGGAGGTTTCGGACTCCTGGAATCGTCTGCAGAGTGGAGCTCCATTGCAACCGTGTATGGACTATTTACCGGGGTCTGGGCGGACCTCGCACTGGTTTATTGTATTCGGCGTGACTGAGATTCTGAAGAGAGCCAAGCATCCTTGGTAGTCCTCCATAACACCCCGTGGCAACATAGGACATTGACTTTGTTGACAATGTCTTGGAAATGATAATATTTGTAACATAGCTGTGACACCAGCTGTGTTACAAATATTATCATTAGCGTCTCCAAGACATTGTCAACAAAGTCAACAATGCCCAAGCACATATGATACAGCACTTCCAGCCAGACGCGGATTTATGGAATCGTACAAATCGCTATCGAGAGGAGACCCATGTTCTAGGCGCCACCAAATCTTTATTTATTTTTTTAAAATAGCAGGTTTGCTCTCTGCCTTAAGACCCCCAAAAGTTCAAGTGAAATGGTCCGCGCTCGCTTCAAAATTCCACCACTGCTTCCAAGAATCCTACCGTAATAATTATACACTCCGGAAATTCCTGTTCGCGCAATCTCTCTTTGATGAAGTACGTTAGGCGCTTCATAGAGCGCCCTATTTTCGTCCCCAGAATGCAGATCAACTGACCAGATAGTTTGTTCATGTTTTAATATGTTATATCTCAAGATATTCTTTGTAAACTCGATGTATTTATATATGCATTCTTTGTAAACTTTGTAACTATTCTCACAGGATCAAGCTGTATCCGATTCAGATTTGGTCGCAGATTGCAGTGATTTCTTCTTTTTGTGTAGCTATTTTGTTTAAATAAATGGAACCGTTTTTCTTGGTATCATACTTTTTGTTTTTCGCTTATATTGCATGCTTAAACGATTATTTTCTTTACAGAAAACGTCAGTACTTCAAATGTAGTATAACTGATAATCAGGTGAAGGTATTCGATAGAATCACAGAGAAAGTTAAAAAAAAATCAAGTACTTCTTTTTCTTGATAAGCAAATGCTATCTCAGCTGCTGATACTGTTCCGTCGAATTGAAGCTGAGAAGATGGCTCTGTTTGATTAGCTCTTTCCTAATAAAAAGAAAAATTAATATACATAACCAAAACCCTCTTTTCATATCCATCATTCAACTTCAGTCACATATTCTATATCCATATATAATCAATAAAAAATGAAATTAAAATGTATGTCATTGTAATAAAACGCATATCAGATTACATTACACTGAATCATAAACTAGTTATTTCGTTTTAAATAAACAGATGTAATAAAAAAGCTACTTATTATGTCTTGCTTAAATATTCTCTCACCATTCGAAACATGATAGAATATCTATCTTAAGAAATTAATGAAGATTGTTTTACAACTTTTACTCTTCTCTTATTAGATTATCAGGCACTTCAATCCGAGGATAAATTTCAATCTAAGGATTTTTTCAGCAGCCGTACTTGAAACATTTCATTAATCATCGCGGTTCATTGCTTAACGTAATAAGAAGCGGGTAATAATAGATTCATCATAATAGAAAACTGTATCTAAGCTAGCTTTATTAAAAATTTGATACTGAAATTTTATTAATTTCAGTAATTATGACTATTAATTATTAAAATTAAATTATTAAAATTATTAAATTATTAAATTAATTATTAAAATTAATTATGACTATCTGGTGCCAGTCTCCGATCTGGAATGCGCAACTTGTCAACCCGAATGCACGCCAGACCGAAGCCTGGCCTCTCAAGCGGCTATTAAATAAGTAAATAAATAATAAAAATTCCTGCGCTGTAAAAATAAAAATATTTTATTCATTAAAAAACTATACAGAACACATTTTTATTAATATTACCAATTTTTAGAAGCTTCTGATATTTATTTATACTATTTTCAAATTTTAGCTTCTCATGATTGAAGTCATTGAAGCAACGTACATCATTACAACAAAGTGCGTTCAGAAATAACATATACATTGCTTTCATGAATCTTTTTAGCTATGAGATTTGTTAAATTCATACAAAGTATTAAAATAAATCAAAAACAAATTGCAACTTCAAAATTGGTGTGTCCAGATACACATGTTTTTGTGCAGACTGCGAGTGTTTAATATGGTGGCTTAAGCGCCACCGTCTTTCTACAATGCGAACTTCGTTCTTCTTTTTTTAATGTTGGCGTTAATCTAGAATCTTTTTTTTAGATTTGGCATGTAAAATATCGTAATTAATTAGCAGTGCTTAAACTATTCTAAGCATTTTCCCAAAGCCACGCACGGTTATCATGTACATTTAAACCAAACTAATTAAAAAACTTCTTTTACGCTAACAATAAAATTTTGTTCAATATATTATTGCGTGCGTACGGGTTCGTAATAAATAGAATGCACAACTCTGATGAAAAGTGAATAAAACATATTTTATCACAACAAATAAAAACAAAATACTTAAATTTCCTCAGATCTTCGTACAATATTGCAATATCTCGCAGTAGTTATCTTTTAAGTTACCAAAACGTTCAACAGAACCAGTTCAAAACAGAGAAAGCTAATCCGATTCCACCCCGAATTCGCTACAGTAAAAAACAGTAGTTTTCTAAACAAAACTGGTCTTTATCCCGCTTTTTGTGAGATTTTTAAACGTGCACGAGCATATTCTGGTATTTTCTCGATTTTTCTCGAAAAGCAAAAGCGTGCAATTACGAGATATCTATTTTTTAAATGCGCGTGCTCCTGTATTTTTAATTTTTCCGGCGTAGCTTTCTTTTCAAATAAGTCTCGTGCTACATTGCAGGGTAATATAAAACAATTTTAATTAATTCTATTTAAAAATAGCGAATTCAATACAAAAACCGTAACACTGCCCCCTTTCCAAGGACTGCAAGTACCGGGCAGTACAATCTCTCGACAGGAAGACAAATTTACAACTAAGGCATCAATGTAATAATAAACATTACATTAAGGTAACAAACAACATAAACAATAATTGCAATAGTAACTTAAAACAATTCAAATACTAAATACAAGTCAAATCAATTACACATTTAGAAACAAAAAGAACCATGGTCTTAATACTGTTTACAATTATTTACACTACGTACTATGGCCATAGTAATGAGCTAACCTGTCGTAATGAACGACTTTAGGTTTAGAGTTCGATAACTTACGGATCCGAACCAAGACGTCATTCAGTCTGTTTAGGACAGTATAAGGACCATCTCAAGGTGACTGAAGTTTTCGACAATGTCCTTTCCGTCGAGTCGGATTCCATAACAACGTCCTATCTCCAATAATGAATCGATCTCCAGTAGCTCTCGTGTTGTATCGGGTCTCCATCTTCTCCGTCGCAAAGTTGACTCGCTCTCGTGCAAAGTTGGGCATCTCTTCAAACCGGGCCTGGAGATCTTGAATGTCTTCCTTAGGTGATGAAGGCGCAACCGGAGGACGACCAAACAAAGGATCACAAGGCAAACGGAGGTCACGACCGATGAGCATCCGGGATGGAGAATAAGGGAATATTAGGTGATCTTGCATTTCTCTTCGACCCTAATATTTCCTATTACGTATACCCTATTTAGACAGCTTTCTGAGCAGAGGAGTCGGCGTTTCTAGGTGAGGATTCCTTTTCATGTTAGGTAGTTATGTCTTCTGATGCTGAAAGCATTTTGTTGTTTTGAGGTCCAAGGAAAAGTCGTATTTCCTTAAAAAGACTAAACCGAGTATGCACGGATCTGCAATATCTGCCACATATGCCGTGTGATAGTAGGCGGCACTTCTAAACGTGATGTTAACGTTTAACTTCCCAGCTATGTCGATTTCATCACCAGACGCAGTCTGGAGGATAACACAGGATGGCGTCCAAATGAGTTTATCTTTAAATTGTTGAGCTAAATCATTCTGAATGGTGGTAACATTAGCCCCTGCGTCAGTGATCAAATTTGCAAGGAACTCCATCGATAAGCCTATTGATGGATAGTGCATTACTGATGCCACTCACTGCAGAAATCTTGAGCGCTTTAAAAGGAGGTTTTTCACTAGCCTTCAAACTCTGCTACGCGATATGATCATTAATTTTATTTCCTGCGTCGTTGCTGGGAAATGGTGTTGATCTCTGTGCCCTGGGGTGTTCTGCAGTTCCTTCGTACATGGCCTATAGCTCCGCAGTTCCAGCACTTTGGTTCCTTGTCACTCTTTTTCCATCGCATGGCATTTAATTGCCTGTTTATATCCTCTGTCTTATTTTCCATTCTCTGGGGTGTTCTGCTGTTCCTTCGCATGTGGCCTTCAGCACCGCAGTTACATTACTTCAAAATTGGTTTCTTTTCACTTCTGTTCTGTCTCAAGTCGTTGACTTGTCTAGTAAAATCATCTGTTGTATCTTCCGTACCCTGGGGTGTTCTGCAATTCCGTCGTAGGTGGCCTTCAGTACCACATCTCCAACACCTTGGAGTCCGTTCTCACTCCTACTCCGTATCAAAGCATTGACTTGTCTGGATAAATCTTCTAAACGAGCCATGAATTAATCCACTGACTCGTGAACTCGCACAGCTCTGATTGCGTAGCGATCTCTACGATTTGCTTGCTGGGCTGCTTCAAATTTCATGGCGTACACCAGAGCGCTTTTAAAATCTTTAACATTCGGCATTCGGAGAGCTTTCTGTATTTCAGGATCCCGGATGCCGTCGATAAAGTATTGCAGGGACAGGATTTCCCTTGTTTCTGTCGGATACTCCGGAAAGGCGAGATGGGACAGTTTTTCAACATCTGTGGCGAGCTCCTGGAGTGTTTCTGTGGCCTTCTGTTGACGGGATTTTACTTGAAGGCTATTGTAGTCTTTTAAACATTTCTCCCCAAAACGCAGCTTCAGTGTGCCAGATAGAGCTTGAAGGACTAACTTCTAGTTTTCGGGAAGAGTCTGCAGGATATCTGCTGCGTCTGCTCTCAGAGAAGTGACGAGATGACAGGCCTTATCTTGGGAATTCCCATCCATTCGCTTTTGCCACTATAGACAGTGTTGTCTTATAGATTTGCCAAGAGGTCTTCCCATCATATGTAGATAGTTTCAGAGAGGGACATTCAAGCAGCATTGCAGGCATCGGTAAAAATTTAAAACCATCTGTACTGCTCCCTGCTGTCGCTACGAATTCCACAAAATTAGTTACTTTCAAAAACCAGAAGAAAGTAGGAAAAAAACATAAAATTTTTCGATGCTAGAAATTTAGTGACATTAAAACATGTTATGAGTTAATATAATCTGTGAACGTGTATATTTCAAAAATACATCAGAAGATACAGTTTAATAAATAAATCTGCGTTAGCTTTGAAATAAAATACACGAGTTCTTAATTGCTACTTTACAATTTAGAATACGAGGGCCATCCAGGAAGTAGATTATGTTTCCGTCTGTGTCCGCTAGGGGCGGGGCTAGCGCGGCCATCTTGGGGTCAGAGCGTTGCGCAGCTCAGTCTGCATCTAGCCGTGCTAGTGAGAGGTTCGTGCTGTGCTCCGTTCAGATACTGTGACGGTTTGAAATGTCTGCGTTAATTGAAAATCCCGCGAGCTGCGAGGTGCGCTCAGTAATAAGGTTTCTGACTGCAAAAAACTGTAAACCGATAGAAATCTATCGGCAGCTTCGTGAAGTGTATGGGGACAACATTATCACTGAAGGTGGAGTGCGTCAGTGGGTCATAAGATTTCAAAATGGCCGAACCAATGTTCACGACGAAGATCGAAGTGGGAGACCCAGCATAGTGACCGCCGAACTTCTCGAAAAAGTCGATGCTAAAGTCCGTGAAAATCGAAATTTCACAATAACGGAACTTTCTTTGAGTTTTCCACAAATTTCGCGAAGTTTGTTGCACGAAATCATCAGCGAAAAGCTTGGTTACCACAAGTTTTGTGCAAGATGGAAGGCAAGAAGAGGTAACGAAGTGGTTGAAGGCGCAGGCGGCCGAATTTTTCGACGAAGGAATTTCCAAGCTCGTACATCGCTACGATAAATGCCTTAATTTGTATGGTGACTATGTAGAAAAGTAGTATTTGAGTGTGGCTTTCATCTGTATATAATAAAATTTGTTTCCTATACTTTGTTTATTTTTTTATTCCAAAACGTAATCTACTTTCTGGATAGCCCTCGTATTTTATTTTTAACTTCTACGCCTTAAGAGTATTTTTACATGCTTTTTTTCCTTCTGCATTAAAAAAAATAAAATGCAGTAATCGTATTGTGATGGAAATCATAATGTTATCCAAACAAAAAAAGTATTCGAGTCATCAGATGAGTACTAAATACGCTAACAATAGAAATCAGATAAATAAAAAATTAAGACAAGAATGTTCATGTGTTAGAAGAAGAGGAATGCTTTTTTAAGCTCAAAATTTTCTCATAGCTCTTTTACTCACTTACTTTTAGCAAAAAATGCACAGTCTGTGTCGCTCTGTCGCAGAAGTTGAATTTATTCTTTCGCTTTGTGTCGAGTTCCTCCACGGTTTCTTCTTTTTCATTTTTAAAGTCTGTGAGAGTAAAAGGTTCTGCACTGATATTTTACTTTTTAGACTGCTAAGGATTGTAATGCAACTGGAAACAATGTAATCAAAATAAAGAAGAGAAATTATTTTTGTTCATTAAATCATCCATTACAAAGAATCCAGTAAAATTTAAAATATACCTTGAGATATTTTGAGAGCACCAAAGGAATTTTAATTGGGATATTCTTCTCTGCTATGCACTGCATACTTAAAATGCAATTTCAGATTCTTCTTTTTTTATTCCCACTCCGTACTCACATTTTCGTTAGTGTAAATGTGCAATGACATAGCAGTGGTTTCATGAGATTATTTGTATATGTTAAGTCGAAGTTAGATTTTCTACAGGCATAATCTCAAAATAATGTATTGATGGTCTTATCTGGTACTATTATTTTAGGTAATCTGATTTTGCTTTATCCAAAAACAGGAGCAGCAAAGTTGATGTTATTATTACATTATTATACAGATTCGGTTTGCAAATTATTGTAATGTCTAGACTTCAAAAATTATTCTGCTACATCACTCTTTGGAGAATAGGTTTGGTTTTTGCTTAGTTTGTTATGGCAAAGTACACTAGGGCTTTCGGCCTAAGAAGAGGGGTGCCTTTGTGGAGGACATTTATAGGGAAACTGGCTCGTATGTACGTTACACATAGGGAAAACAACGAAAACGCACATGCAGCCAGCCCGTTTGCCTGGATTCGAACCCAGGTCGGAATTTACCAGTGTTCAGCGATTTTACCGCTCGGCTGCTGGTGTGCCGTTTGGAGAATACCTTCTAATTTAAAACATCCTAATCTAGTCATCCTAATCTTGAATTGGATAAGCATTTATACTGAGCGCACCTGTAAAATAAATCATATTTCACCTATGTACACACACATGTAATGATTTAGTTATGAATAACTTGATGTTAGAAAATGGCTTGAAACTGTTGCGTAGATGGAATCATGGAATTGCGGACAAACGTGCCGAGTTCAACACATAATTTATTCCTGGACATTCTTAATACATATCTTCAGTCACACATCATTATTTACTTAGGGCACATATTCTCGGTTCACACAACACTAGGGCGCCCCACAAATTTATATACGCGGATCACATCTTTAAACAGTAAATGAAAGCACCAAATCGATTATTAAACGCTGCGAAGTAAGAAGCAGGGGAGAAAAGTTAAGCGTTTTCATTAACTGGGATATTTATAAAACTCAGTTTCTTTTTGAATTCCGTTTTGAATGTTTTTTGGACAAGAAAGCAGCATTGCAGACATTATTGAAGAATTACATTATTAGAAAGCAGCATTGCCGCATGGCGGATCATTGCAGATGAAATAATGACATAAGTGACGCAGTACAGATTCTTTAAAGAGGACGTAGACAAAATAAAAACAGGAATTATATGGGCTATTGCCAAATTAAGTTACAATTTTTTTAATAATTTACATATATATGTAAGATAAAAAATAAGAAGCAAACTTCCAACTTAAATTTGGAAAAGCCGCTTAGTTCTTGATTTTAGTTTGGATATTTCCCCTTTCCATCCTTTGCTTAATGATGATGTAGTTAATTCAGAAACAGTCAAGGCCAAATTTTCTTTTTATTGGATGATTTATTATCTAAAGATGTGCTAAGTTTCCAAAATTGTGGGGTGCAGAATGCCCCCAATAATGATGGGCGAATCAGAATATGCATCCCTAGAATTACTTTGTAGAAATAAAATGTATTGAATCCACAGCTGCATTTGCCTGCAAGTTTCATCCTTGTAATCTGCAATACGCATTCTCTATGCTAGCACCTTCTAGAACCATCGGCCATGATTAATATTATTTTTATCTTCTCTCTCTCGTATTCCTAAATCATTACATGTATATCTTACTTGGTTTATTATGCATATGGATAGATACAACAGATTGCTTCACACAGTTGTTTACAAGAATTCTTTGACTTTAACTGAGAGTGGAAGGTAAACTTATTGCTCGCTCTATTACCTTTATTCTCGGTATAAATAATTTCTGCCCATACATCAGAAGCTATCGTGAAGACCAAACCTTTATCCCCTTTAGAATAGAAGAGAAACACGCTAATGTGACAATCAAAATCGTAAAAACAACCTTGTATTTAGCGTAAGTATATTGAAACACTCAATCGATTTCGAGGGCAGCTAAAGATCCCTCCTCATCAGGAGAAAGAAATACCTAGAAAGAAGAAAAATAAAGGTGAAGGAGTCTCAGAAACACGTGGTCCTTATCAGCACTGCACGTGGTTATAATCGGATTTTTAATCAGATTTACACTGGCCGCCTACTTTTACTGAGCCAGGCTATCTGCTCAAACATAAAGGACAAGAAAATTAGCGAAGTTAAAAATAGGGAGCGAGGGGTAACTGCACCTTCATGTTCAAAATCTGAACTTCGAATAATGGAATGCAACCACTGAAGAGATTTTTATACCCTCTGGTAGTACCAAACGCGAGGAGGTAACACCATCTATCGGCAAAAAAATAGTAACTGAATTAAGATAGTAGAATTTTAAAGGCATTAGGAAGGACTGGATTGTACTTAAATTCATTAACTAAGTATGCTAAATCTTTGTGAATATGAAAAGCCTCAAAGCCCATACCAAGTCATGCCACCCTGTTAAGCAAAAAATGGCTTCTTTTTACTACTATTATGTATTCCGCGCGCTTAAAGTTTGTTCCTCTGAATCTTTGCTTACCAATGAACTTAATTATTTGAGGGCAGTTGCGATTGACTGTGGATTTTCTTCCGTGATTATTGACAAAGCCGTTAAAAAATTTTCAGATTCCCATCAAAGAAGACATTCCACTGTTAGAAATAATATTAATGACCTGTCGTGCTTCCTTTTATCCTTCTGTTAGCTATAAAATTGCACGGATTCTCCAGAAATTCAATTTTCAAGTCGGTTTTCCCCCCTATTAATAAAATTCCCCCTTCGATTCTAAAAGATTGCGTTTCTGTCTTGAATTCTTGGGGAATTTATAGTATATCGTGTCATGTGGTTTAAGATATATTGGCCAACAAAAGAGCGTTTTAGTTTCGTATCACGGAATATGAATCTTATGTCAGAAAAGGGAAATTAACAAGTCTTCAATAGCGTATCATAGTTGGACATTTACCATAATTTTGACTTTGGGTCTGCAAAATTATCCAAAAGGGCTTCTTCCATATGTGAATTGGATTTTTGAGGCTTTTCATATTCACAAAGATTTAGCATACTTATTAATGAGTTTAGTCAATCCAGTCCTTCCTAATGCCTTTAAATTCTATTATCTTAATTCAGTTACTATTTTTTTGCCGATAGATGGTGCTACCACCTCGCGTTTGGTACTACCAGAGAGTATAAAAATCCGTTCAGTGGTTGCTTTCCATTATTCGAAGTTCAGATTTTGAACGTGAAGGTGCAGTTGCCCCTCGCTCCCTATTTTTAACTTCGCTAATTTTCTTGTCCTTTATGTTTGATCAGATAGCCTGGCTCAGTAAAAGTAGGCGGTCAGTGTAAATCTGATTAAAAATCCGATTATAACCACGTGCAGTGTTGATAAGGACCACGTGTTTCTGAGACTCCTTCACCTTTATTTTTCTTCTTTCTAGGTATTTCTTTCTCATGATTAGGGGAGACCTTTAGCTGCCCTCGAAATCGATTGAGTGTTTCAATATACTTACGCTAAATACAAGGTTGTTTTCACGATTTTGATTGCTTTATCCCCTTTATCCAATTAATACGTTTTTACATATCTTCTTCTTATCTTTTACATATCTTCTTCTATCAAGCTTTTATATTTGGTAATTTATTTAGATATTTCTGCAAAAGCAAGAGTAGATAGGGCTAAAAAAGACAACTTTGAGCAAGAACACAAAAGTTTACAAGTTAACGCTCAAATTAATATGACGTTTTCTAAAAGCACCGTCTAGAGATTATAAATTGGATTTTAAAATAAATAATCTGTATTTTCACTTATTTCATTGCCATGTTTGTTTGTATGTACGGGTAAATGCAAATTTTATTTTTATTTTATATATATATATATATTTTTATATTTATTTATCAAATTCCTGGCCATTGACCATCAGGTCATTAGGCAACGAGCTCTCCAGTACTTCTTTGCAATACGGTCCAAACTCTTATTGTAAAGATGTATTGGAGTATATTAATTTATTTATTACTATTATTATTTAATGTCTGATATCATTACGCATTATTTTATAGGTACGTAAAACATATCCTTATTTTTTAGCCCTCAAATACGATATTAAATCTAAACAGATGTTAACCTAAATTAATTTACCACTTGTGGTCTGCACTTCCTCTTTTCTCCTTATGTTTCCCTTCTGGCTGAAGAATAAGATACTACTTCGCCGATTCTGTAGCTGCTTGTAACATCCCTCCTGAAATAAATTAATCAGGAATAAATCTTGATTTTAATAGTCACCAATAATGCACAATTTATTTCGTCATTAATTTTAAATAGATGGATAAATGTATATAAATTTACGCAATGAAAGCAAAGTGCAAAAGTAATTCAATTTAAAATTTTACTGAGTTTTCTGAATTCTTACTCTGTAGCAAAATTCAACAGCGTCATCCAAAAAGTACGGATTGCAGGTTGTGAGCACAGTAGGGATATCGGTGTCGAGTTCCTACAGAAGAAAAAAAGTGCGTGAAAATATTTTAGTGCTTGCATTGCTTTCTTTTTGTTTAATCAATTTTTGTTCTTATTGGCTCGGCAAACAAAGGTAAAATATGTATGCCTATGAGCTTATGCTGAATTGGAATACATGACGTAAACCTTTTAAGGTTTTTAACGAATAAGCTTGCTTCTCCTGCTTATCTCAGCGACGTTTAAAGAAGTAAGCAAATTTATTTAATAAGTAACAGGATATAAAGATAGTCAAGATATAGCAGTTAGCACTTATAGCTCTTAATAGTATCAGTAGATTCTAGCGAATTTCAGTACCTAACTCTCTAATTTAGTTGATTTAAGCCGTAAAGTTGATAACATTGTTAGAGAAATAAGTGATATTTTATTATTACTGCAATTTGTAAAGAGTTAGTTAAAATTTAGACTGTCCCTTTCCCTGAAATTCGAAAGTCTTCTTCTTACTAATCCCTCTGATCTGAATCAGATAAGACCCATAAGTTCATTCTCCTTCATAACTTCCAACGCGAAATTATGTCTCCTCAGCGGATCTTCACGCATTAAGTTTCATGGTTTTTATATTTGGCGCATTACACTACTTAACTACATTGTAAATTGTAATTAGATTATGCAATTGTTATTAGAGTGTAATTGCTTTACTTAAAATGTAATTAAAATTACATTGTACAGTTAAAATTACATCCATACGAAGCAGGAATTTTCTGCCGTAGAGGTAATGATGGAAATGTTTTACATCTTTAGCTATGACGAGCAACTTTTTTCTGGTGACAGAGTAATTCCTCTCCGATTTAGAGAGACACTTGCTCCGGTGTGCCAGGACACGTTCTTGATCGTTTATTTCTTGTACAAAACAGCACTGACACTTTCATTGCTCACATCCGTGTCAAGAATACACGTTTTGTCGAGCTGAGGATACGTCAAGATTGTGGCAGATGTTAAAGCCTCCTCCAGTTTGTTAAATGCATCCTTATATTCTTTGGTCCACAAGAGCTTTTGCTTGCCGTCTGTCAGTTTGTGAAGGTGTCTAGCGATGGAAGAAAAGTCCTTCACAGATCTCCTATAGTAGCTGCAAAGCCCCAGAAATCTCAGCTGATGGACATTTTCGAGGCGTCTCCAGTCTTTAACTTCCAACAATTTTCCGGATTCGTGAACACATGTTTGGTGGAGATGACTCGTTCGAGGAAAGACACTTCCTGTTTGAAAAATTTACATTCGGCAGGACTTAATTTTAGATTAGCTTCCTTCAGTTTTTCAATCACTGTCTTAATATTTTCCAAATACTCTTCAAAACATTTTCCAGTGATCATGATGTCACCCAAGTATATTAGACTGGCTTCGTAGAAAAGACTTCTCAACATGGTCTTCATGACGCCATCTGATGTTGTCGGCGCGCTACATAATTTTAATGGCATCACGTTAAACTTCCAAATTCGTTATCTGGTAGTAAACATAATCTTTTCTCGGTCATCGGGGAGTATCCCTACCTGGTTAATATTCACTTTTTAAATCAAGCATCGAAAACCACTTGCTTACAGAAAAAAATGTCTACAATGTCGTCAATTATAGGAGGTGGGTACTTGTCTTTCTTCGTATCCTCGTTCAACCGGCGATAGTCAACACAAAACCTAGTTGAACCGTCTTTCTTTTTGACCAGGACGATGAGAGATGCCCAAAGACTTGCTGAAAAGTTGATAACATCATTTGCGTATTTCTAGAAGTTTTCTTTCTTCCGGTTTAGCAATCGGTAGATAGTTTGGATATTGCTTGATTGATGGATGATCCCCTTATAAATTTTTTACTGTCCAGAACCGGTTCGACCTATGTCAGATGAACGGCAGAAAACATCTTGAAAACTTTGAAGGACACGGTCTGCAGCATTCTTCTCTTCATGGCTTTGTTGTGCACTCTGCAGTAACTCTTATCTTAGACTCGCCGAAGACATAGACCCTGAAGTATTACTGGTGCGTCCAACGCGGATCACGGGAGTACATGCTGCAACCACCTCGTCTTTCCTAATGACTTTTTCCTTAACACTTACATCGGCAACTCTCGCTGAGATGATAGTCCTCGATAGTTCAATGTGTGCCGAGGTTATCAGTGCTCCTTTCGACCTGTTACAATTCTTGGAATATTCCATTTTGCCGTAGCGGAAAATTTTGTTTTCAGTTATGGATCCAAGTAATAAAAATTCTGTTCTTTCTGGTATTGTGATATCATTTTGAACTATGATTTGGTGGACAGATTTAATTCCTTCATCTTTAGTCGCAAACAGGGTTATGTCCTCAGAGGCGTGATGCAGTTCGTTCTTTTTAAAGGCAAAAGAAAAATTATGTTTCCTTAGAATGTGTAATCCGAGTATGCAAGTGTCTATAATATCCTTCATATATGCCATGTAATGGTAAGCTGCACTTCCAAACGTTATATTAACGTTTAACTTTCCGTCGATTTTGATTTTATCATCGTACACAGCCTAGAGTAATGATGGCGAATCTATGGCACACGTGCCACAGTCGGCACGCAGAGCCTCACCAGCCAGCACGCGACTAAAATATTACTTCCTTAATCAATAATCACAAAAAAAATGATACTATATAATTTAAATATGTGTTTTAGTCTGTTCTTGAACGTTTCACTTACTTATCGCATAATGCCACTGGCCTAGATATAAGATTTTCATATATCGCCGTAGAAATTATATGCATATTTATTGACCTAATTTATGACGTTTCAATTGTTTGTGCCAATCATATTACTTGTTCATGGCAAAGAATATGCCAAAGTTGAAGCAGTTACCAAAGTTGAAGCAGAAGTTAATGTTTCCTAAACGAATTCAAATTTATGAGTGTGCCTGTGAGTTTTAATACTTTCATTGTTAAATAGATTCCAGTTTTCAGATCTAAGCATTTTGAGGTAACTTATGAATAATTCTAATTTAATATCTTAAACGGAATGTAAAAATATAATGTAAAAACACGCAGTTTGATAATATAGAAAAACACGAAAGCTTAGTAGGGAAAGCAAGCTTATTACGTGCGCTCATCCAAACCAAACCCAATAAAGCCGAAAAGGAGCATATGAAATCTAAAGTTAGAAGTTTAGCAAAAAGATGTCCGGGTTAACGGTTACTGCTGTCCCCTGTTCATATTTGAATCTGCAGCCATAGATTGTTGATTCGTGAAAATCCAATTCCTTACTATTGGTTAATAATGTTACCTCCTTTTAGTATATGATCGATTTATATTTAATGCTTCATTTTTAAATTTTGTGCTTTTTCATACTCCAGGTCTTGAATCTTCACAAATGACTCCAGCAAAAAAGGCAAAATCAAACATTGACAGTGGAAGATCATTTCAAGAGACCTGGACAGAGTCATTTGGAGTTACTGAACACAACAGGAATGCATTATGCACTATGTGCGGGGAAAGTGTTGTGTGTCTCACATCTAGTGTCAGAGGCACTTTAACACCAACAACAAGATTGTTGCTGAACTTGATGAAGCTGAACGGAAGGAGTTTTTTGAAGGGAAATTGGGGAATTATAATTGCCAGAAAGTTGGTTTTTGTAATTATCTTTCTAAAACAAACCACCTAACAACGGCCAGCTTTCAAATTTCACTGTACCTGGCAAAACACGTTAAACCGCGAACCGATGGGAATTTAATCAAAGAGATTTTGGGCACGCAAAAAAGAAGAAGGTTTGGGACACGCGGCCCCCAAAAGGTTCGCCACCACTGGTCTAGAGGGTAACACAGGGCGGCATTAAGAGGAGTTTATCATCCCATAAATCATCCGTTGAGCTAAATCTCTTAGGATGATGGTTCCTATATCGATGGTCATATTGCAAAGAATTCTATATATATATTCCTTGATGAAACGTCTATTTCTGCCGCCACTCATAAAATATGAAACGGTTTAAATATGGCTTTTCCATATTTAGACACATCCGGCCCGCAACATGGCCACTAATTATTTCTCCCTCTTTGTTGGGAGCGATCTTAGCTGCCGTGCCTTGGGGTATTCTGCTGTCCCTTCGTACGTGGCTTTCACCACCGCAGCACTTTAGGGTCGGTTTGTTGTCACTCCTATTCCGTCTCAAAGCATTGGCTTGTCTGTTTAAATCGTCTAGACGAGCAGTCACTTGATTCACTAGCTCCAAACTTGAGCAGTTCTGATTGAGTGGTGGTCTCCACGGGTTGTTGGCTGAGATGCCTCGAGTTTCATGGTGTACACTAAAGCACTTCTTAGATCCTAGTCAGGCGAAGTTTGCAGAGCTTTCTATATCTCAGAATTCCGGACGTCATCGATGAAGTACTGAAAGAAGAGGATTGCTCTTTTTTGGGGGGCATTCCGAAAAAGTAAGATAAGATAGCCTTTCAGCATCCGTGGTGAGCTCCTGAATCGTTTCCACGGGCTTCTGTTGGCGAGATTTAATTGAAGCCTCTATAGTCTTTTAAACGCTTCTCGCCAAATCGCAGCTCCAACGCGCCGGATAGAGCTTCGAAGTCGAGCCTCTGATTTTCAGGTACAGTTTGAAGGATATCCGATGCGTCTATTCTCAGAAAAGTGGAGAGATGGCAAGCTTTGGTTTTAGGACTCCCATCCATTTCCGTTTGCCACCATAGATCAGCACAAATATCTTGTGCGCTTGCCAAAAGGTCTCTCCATTATATGTTGAAAGCTTTACACATGGTCGGGACAGCATATTTGCGAATTTAAAGCATCAGAATTGCGACCAATTGTCATTGTGGATGTCTTCAAGTTGTAAGTTTCTTCGGCGACAGCGATAGAAACTTTATCGATTTCTTGTTCGACAACAGAAACTCTTTCTTTGACCTGTTGTTTGACAGCAGAAAAATTTCTTTAATTCTTTAACTTTATTTTCAACCCCTCTCTATTCTGTCTTCCACGGCCCGGAATTTGTTTTCTATAAATGGTAGTAATTGCTCTTTTTATTTTCTCTTGATCTGCTTCCATCGTTTCTTGGGCAGCTTTCATCACTTCATTGAACGCAGCGAAGGTTGCCGACAGCTGTCTCAGTTTCTCCTCATCCTCTCTTATCTTCGGCATTCAGTCTCACTTCTGACACCAAAAATTGTTGCGCGCTTACGGGTTAGTAATGGATTGATTGGACACAGAACCGATGATAGCTTGATAAAAAATTTTACCGAAAGAAATACTTGAAAGTTCTGGAACAACTGAGTTTTTATTTGATTGTAGTAAAGCGCACGAGGACAATTTGCCTACGGACAGTTGTGCCTTCAGTGAGGCTTCCTAAGGGAAACTGGTTTGTACCCAAAAAATTGGGAAAACCACGAAAATGTCTCCGCAGGAAGCTTGTTCGACAGGATATGAGCCCCGGTCGAACTTTTAAGTATTTTCAAGTATTTACAGATTTATTTTTTAATCTCAAAGGATGCTTTCTTTCACAATCCTAAACATAACTAGGCTGAATAAAAAACTTATTAAATTTTAATTTATATTTTCTTAATTAGATAGCTTCCTTAATATTTAAAACTGGGTGCATGTCCGGCAGCCAGAACATCATTAACATAATCTCAGGAAAGTAAGTTTTGCTAAAAACAGCAAATGGCTTTGCAACTTCTGGAAAGAATGGTCATTTCTCTTTAGAAACAGGAAAATTTTATAAGACAGAATACCTAACTGAATAGCTAAAATCAAATGAAATTTCATAAATAAAAAAAAATTTAAGAAATTTCTGAAGTTAAAATTAACTGCTGTCCTTTTTCTGAAAATAAATTAAGATTACTTCATGACTGGGATCGAAAGTATATTTCGTAGACTTCGCGGATCGCTCGGTCATCCCCTCGTTAACATGAGAGATGCAGAAAGCTTTAAGCATAGAAGAGTGCCGAAAATTCTTCTCGGTAGGGACAGATGAAATTTATGACCATTGAGAAAAGTAAAAATAACAACTAGAATAACGTTCTATTAAGAAAGAATTAAGTAATGGAATTCAATAAGAATATAACAATAATAATAATTAATAACTTTGATAGTAAGTAAAATCTGAAGAATAAAGATGGTACTATTTTTTAGAATTGAGCTAAAAGCTTTGATTTTTCATAAAAGTTGTGTATTTTTATAGCATTTTCATTCAAAGAATTTTCATTTTTCTACTCCAACAACACGCTGCACAACCGGCTTGGCTTGGCTTCAGAAATGCAGATAACAGCATGGGCGTTTTAAGTGTACATTCCTATCGAGAAAGGGGTACTTATAGTCGATATAATAATTCTGTAAAGGTTAACGATAGAATAATTTGAGACCCTCAGTTCCTATCCATCAAAGAGATCTCAATCAAAACTGGGATGAAACTTATCATAAAATCGCCACTGTAGTACAAGATCTTTGATCAAGAATATACCATAAGAATATAAGAACATTTTTTTAAAATTTAAATTCATATTTCGATCTCAACCATAATTATTCGTGAGGCTGTTTGTATGTAAATTATATAAATTAAGGTTACATAGAAGTAGGAACGCTAGGTACATCTTTAATACATCTTTAGAAATTACTGAAGTACAAAGACATTGAACCTGATACACTACTTACCTCAACAGTGAGGAATAACTGCGTTAGTTCTTTCGAAACTGGCTGGGGAAAAAATTAAATTTATTAATGTAAAGCATTATAACTATAAAAACAATAATTAGTTATCATTTGGGGATAACATTGTATAACAGATATCATTTTTGCAAAGACTCGAAGACTACAAAAGATTTTAAGCCACTATGTGAATAAAATCTTGAAATTCTAAGAGGCTAAAAGAATCACTAAGGCACATTTTTATACGATTTAAGTTACAGGAACATCTCTAAGGTAAAAAGTTTTACTTAAAGTGTTTAGAGAAAAGATTAATTTTAAGTCTTAACAAGAAAAGAAAAAAGTAGAAAAGAATGTTAGCGTGTATTTTATACAATAAAAATATGTATTAATAAAGAGATTATCTTTGTAGTAAAAGTAAAAGTACTTTTGATAAAAATATGAAATTTTGCGACGAACATATGTATAGATTTTGAAGAGAAGCGGAAACAGAAGTTTAATATAAGAGATTGCAAAGATTTAGTTGAAGAAAAAAAAACTAATTTTTCAAAAAATATTTTTCATTGCAGAAATGAAAGATATCAGAACTAAAATATAGACCTAGTGAAAAGCTAATATCATTGAGTCACTGAATTTACATGATTTAGGCTTATAACCTAGTACTTAAATGCCCAATAATATAAATATTATAGAAATTTTGTTAGAAATATTTAGATGAAAAAAAAAATCGTTCAGTTTAAAAAATTGTAGGTACTAAGCAGCTACATGTTTATATCTTTCAACTACTGCACATAATTAATTATTTATTAAATGATTAATTTAAAGTTCTCATTTGCATAAAATTCAGACCTTTCGGAATTAGAAAATAAGACAGTTAAGTATGTGTTTAACAATACCAGTTTAATATTGCTAGTGATGGAATAAATTTCACATTTACATGGTTACAGAATTTAGTCTATAACCTTAAGTTAGTTTAAGGTTACAGAGTTTAATCTTCTTTGCTAGCATAAACTCTAAGTTAAAACACCTAACAGACCTGAAGTGAATTATAGCTCCGTCTGAAAATAACTGCAAAATATTATGAAGGTTTTAAAACAAACCTTTGTATTAAGTCATAACCAGAACATAAATGCGCTACTCGTCCTTAAAAATCTGCCAACCACTTGTGGGGATGTAACTTAAAGTGATAATAAATTCAAATTTAAAACTTAGTAAGTAGCCTAGGGCTACACAAATGATTTAACTGGAAGTTGACTCAAACTTCTCACTGGCGTAAAAATTTCAATGGCCACAACTATTATGCAAGATGAAGGATAGAATCTTATCTGAGCTAGCTAACCTAGTAACGTGGCTTCGAGAGGCAGGAAAACACTTTGTCTTACAATCCGAAAATCTCAACTTACGTAATCTTGAACTAATTTGCATTCTGGTAGGGAAACGGAAGGGAGAAATGATACTAAAGATCTCAATCATGATAACTGGTTAAATCAACATGAAGGAGCGTTACAAGCTTAAAATGATAAAAAAAATTATGCTATTTTTTCTACAAAACATGATCAGGATAAATAGTACATCTTAAAAAATGTCAGAAATCTTGCTTTAACTGTTTACTTTTTTTAAAAAAAAAGGTTAAATTATATATAACGCTTAAAAACTTAAAGCATTAAAGTTATAGTGACTTGTATTCCTGTTTCAGTGCATCTGCATATGAGCGAAATTTGTAGCTCGTGGTATGTTTAAGTGACATCTCATGGGCTCTCAACTAAGAAGGAATTCCCCCTAGGGAGAAATTTCATAGGGGGGGGGATGCGGTCAGCCTTTTATTTAGGTATTAAGTGTTTAGTTTAAGTTTATGAATATAAAAAACACGTTCATTCTGGTTTTGGTATTTACCAACATTTTCTATACTTTTTTCTGAGTAATATATGTAATATTAGCACAATTTTGGAAATATTGAAGTAAGAATACTGATATGTAAAGTACTGCTTAGTATTGTAAAGTATTACATGAGTATTGTGTAGCAATACTGATGGCGTAGATACTTGGTAGAACGCCCATCCATTTTGAAGAAAAAACAGTCGAGCCGGATTAAATTCCCTTTAAAAAAAATTTAAAAAAAAAAAAAAAAAATTGTGGCCATTATTTTCACTTGGCACTCCAATCGTGCCCACTTCCAGAACATTCACAATTTTGATACTATACCGGCAGAAGCTATTATAGCAGCACATAGATGATTGCAGCAAATCGTCTGAACAGGATGAAAGCTTACGCGAAAAGAGAGAGTGTCGCAGTGGTAATGCAAAGGAAGCAGGTAAGGAGGCAAAAGTTTCAGTTTTAAGTTTTGGTTTACAATTTGGTGATCGGTCAAGAGGCATCTGCATTAAGGGTTACGTAAAATCGCATGATTAATTTGAATGACGGAGTTTTAGACTTACAGCGCTATTAAGACAGAGAAAGGAAGTCTCCGAATGAAATAAAAAATAAAAGAGGTTATAGTGAATTAAATTTAGAAAAATTTAAATAGAAAAAGAAGAAATTAAATTTATAATTATATATATATATATGTATATAATTCCATTTTTATTTAAATTGACATTTGTGGCCACTATTTACTTGTCACTCTAATCGTACCTATTTCCAGAACATTTACATTTTCAATTTTTATACTATTGCGATCGGAAGACAGCATAGCTAAATAGCATCCAAGCAGCACAGAAGTTGAAGTTAAAAGCGTACATTTATCCAATATGGAAGCTCACCAAGAGAAAGGTTTGGGTTTAGGCTAGAAAAGTTTCAGTTCTCAAATTTTTAAGTTCAGATTCCGAATTAGCTACGTAAATTTAAAATGATGCCTGTTGCTAAATTGAAAGCCTGCTGCTAAATAGAATTATGAAGTTGATTTACGTAATTTTTATCTTACACACACACATATATATGTATGCATAAAGTTTTCAAAACGTGATCTGTACAACAATCTTGCACTAGCCCGTTCGCCTGGAATCGAAACCAAACCAGGTCGATCTACCAGTATTCATTGGTCTTTAACAATGGGCTACAGGTGGGACTGAATCACACATGTATGTTACCGACAGAGTATGAAACGCCGGCATTCTATAGAATATCTAGGCATTGTATATAATGCCGGACGATTTTAGACAAAGTATGAAATATGAGAATTATTACATACTTTCTTTAGGCATTGTATATAATACCTGAGCGTTCTATAGAATGACAAATACTCTTCAGGCAAAGTATGAAAATATTTATGGTAAGGCTATTATTTAAAAGACGTTCATTCCTCCAAAACATTAATGAAAGCGTGTCATTAAAAAACTGTTATTCGAAATATACAAAACGAAAATAGTGAGATGATCTTGATACAACATAATAAAAATGTATTTTCTAATCTGGTTGAGAGTGGGAATCTGTAAGTTCTACCTGACAATCGAAATTAAATTCGGAAACAGTTCATAAGTTTCACAACAATGCCCTTTTTAATACCACTTTGTTTTTCCTAGCAGGGCTCACAAAGGTGGTTGGACAGTTCAATATCATTACGTGCAACGTTTTTGTATTTGGTTGAAAGTTCTTTCAACATTCTGTCACGTCGTTCGTGTCCGGTACTCAAATACACTGACTACCAATAAGTATTTGGACACCTGTGATAGAAAAGAGAAACTAACTTTATTCAAAATCAATAGTTGGTAGAGTCTCCACGAGAGGTAATTACAGTGTGGACCCTCTGGGACATACTTTCCACAAGTCTTTGTATGACAGCTAGTGGTATTTTCTTCCACTCGGTTTGGAGAAGACATAGAAGTTCCTTCACCGATTTTGCCCGGGTATTGCACCCCTGAATTCGGCGATGCAACTCGTCCCAGAGGTTCTCGATAGGGTTCAGGTCTGGACTCTGGGCAGGCCAGTCCATTCGATGAACTCCATTGGCACCATACCAAGTCTTGGTCAACGTCGAAACATGACAACTGGCATTGTCGTCCTGAAAGTAACAGGGGTCCAACCCGTAAAACTGCCACAACGTAGGAAGCACATTGTCATCCAAAATAGTGCAGTAGGCATCGGAGTTGCGCTTACCATGAATGGGGACCAAGGGTCCCAGCCCATACCAGGAGAAACACGCCCAGGCCATAATTCCACCTCCGCCGAACTTGACTCTTGGTACAATGCATTCTGGCAGGAGATGTTCTCCAGGTAGACACCAGACCCAGACCCTGCCATCCGAACGGTAAAGGGTGAACCTTGATTCGTCACTCCAAAGAACCCGTTTCCACTTATCTACGGTCCAATTTCGATGTGCTTTGCACCACATTAACCGAGCAGTGCGGTTGGACTTTGTGATCAAAGGCTTATGGGCAGCAGCACGACCATGAAACCCAAGCAGATGTACTTCCTTACGAATGGTATTCATTGAAACAATACTCCTGGATGCCTGTTGAAACCTCGCGGATGAGGGCCATCGGTTGGGTGCGGTTCTTCCGAATTTCTCTGGACAGCACTCGTCGGTCTCTATCTCTTAGTTTCGTTGGTCTGCCGACTCGTAGCACATTCCGACAATTACCGCTCACCTTCCACTTCTTAATCACATAGGCCACTGTCGATTTTGGGTACTTCAGATCGCTAGATATATCCCTTAAGGATCGGCCACATTTGTGATACCCGATAATTATACCTTTCTCGAAATCATAGAGCTCCGAACTGCGAGGCATCTTGCATGCAACTAAAGCCGATGCTGTTTCCTACACGATATATACCGGCGGAATCCATGACGTACCTTAGGACCGCAGATATCTTCATTTGCATAGGTGTCCAAATACTTATTGGTAGTCAGTGTAAGTTTTTATGAAGTAAGGCAAATAACTCAGCGTCCGTGACGTAATACTGTATGGTACTGACGCTTTCTTTAACAGGATAAATGAACGCAATTTTGTTTTCCACAAACATCACATCCTAGCGATTCGGCAGCCGGTAGTTCCGTGATTCCTTCTTAGTAGTCATTTTGGCATTTTTACATTATTTATTAACTTCTAGTTTGGTTAGTTTGTTCTTCGAAACAGTAGTTTGGTTCTTCAAAACGAATCGGAAATGTATTTGCCGGATTTCAAACTTTGCCGGTATGTAGAAAGAGAGAGAGAGCTCACGTTTTGAAAACGAGACGGGGAAATAATCGTCTAGCAATGGTGCAAAAAAGTGCATGGGATAAAAAGGTTGGGAACCAATGCTCTGTCTCATTCTACACGTTCGAAAGTATCACTGATATGACTAATCCTATTGCGTTTCTGTTATTCGAGCACACAAATTTCAAGAGGTCAAATCAACTCCGCTCCAATTTTTTCGGCGAACAAAACAACTTGAGTTCTTCCCAGCTGCATAAAACCAGAAGGCAATACACATGTTGACTTTTGATTACGTGTCATCCTTTTTTATAACTTCTATTCCGAACGTTTCGTAGTTAAGTGACTTTATTATATGATCATACATTTAACTTTTTGTTTCAGTTGAAGCGATATCCAGATACGGCTTTGCTATAACCTCCTCGATTTTGCACATTAATTACTCCAAGCTCATAATTTCCTTGCTGTCATATAATGATCCTAACAATGTAGCCTTTTCTCAACCTAATAGAAAATCATTTTTGTTGCAGGATTCTCGGTGTATCTGCTAATAGTGACTGCTCAACGCTGGTGCGCGTGTTAACTGTTAGAATTAATGAATGCAATCGCATAACTTTCTGTTTTCCTCTCAAATCTTAAAAGCACTTCGTCTTAAGCCTTGAAAACATTTTGAAACTACTTTAGTCTGTTATCGAATGAAGAATTCATGAGCTCTCCGCAAAATCTATCACATAACTATCAAAAAGCGATTTCAGGTTGTCAAAGATTAAGGAGTCATTAGGATTTTCGAAGCAGGAAAAATGAGCAATCCCTCGCCGGGACTCAAATCTGGACCTCTCGAATATGTGCCGAGTGTGCTAACCGTTACATCACGAAGGCATGCAGTAAGGCCCTTTTAAAGGGCGACTAGGGATTAGAGGATTCAGTCGCCAAATCTTCGTGGGGAAGAATCATCCACCACCATCTTTTCGGCCGCCACTGTAGAGTAACATTTTAGAATTTTTCGAAACAAGGAATTGAAAGAAAGCTGCTGTGCCCTCGGCGGGACTCGAAACTGGACCTCTCGAATATACGCACCAAGTGTGCTAACCATGACGTATTTTAATCCTGAAAAATGAGCAAAATAGACTTTTCTTTTCTATTTAATTTTAGTAACTTTTGCCCCCTTTTCAGTCCTTCATAATCAATGGTATGTGATCCCTGTGTGTCTTTCTTTGCTAATTATGATGTTACCAAATTATTTACTTAGTAATTCGTGCTACAGAAATTTTAGACACTTCTTCTTCCTTACATACTCTAATTAAAAACCCTTAATCTCTACATATAATAAAAGAAAAAGTATGTGTCTTTCGTTCATGTTTTGCTTGTAAGCTAATCGACCCAGGACTACGAAATTTGATATATATAGATGCATCTAGATGCCAGTGCACCTCTAAGCGATTTTTTAAAAATTCGAATCAGTTTTTTTTTATTTTATCTTTTCGATTTTATCGCATCATTCTGAATAGTTTCATTCTTTTAGTAATGTGGTTTTGGCAACAGTTTTTCATTCAATTGTATACTGGACTGCTGACTGTTGAAAATCAGCACTGTTGCCACTCGAAAAAATTAGGGCGATAATTCTGGGCCGTTTTTAAATTTAATATTTCTTTTGGATACTAGACGTTTGTTGAGAGAAGGTAACGGGAAGTTGGTTAATTTATTTATTTATTAGGATAATTAATATTTGTAAGGGATATTGCTTATTTCATTGTAATATTGTTATATGTAATAAATTCCCCCCCCCTTTTTTTTAATGAAGCTGTTTTGCAGAGTAAAATTCTGCGCAGTTTTTAAATTTAACGTTTGGTATTCCCTTCAGGCATTTTTCCGGTACATTTAAAAGCCAGACGAAGGCTGGCCGCGTAGCTGCTAGTGTTTTATAAAAGTATAAACATAAAAGTTAATTTATTTATTTTGTAATTTATATGGTTTTTTATTGAATAATTATTAGATATATTCAATCAAATTAGCTTTTAAATGCATTTGCAACATAAAAAAAAATTCAATATTTTTTTAACTCTGCATTTTTTAATCAGTTGAGTAAATTATCAAAAATCATTTAAAACCATTCATTATCTGCGAAAGTTTTAAAAATTTTGTTTCCCTATATGCATTTATCGATGTGTAAATAGTAAAATACAAAATTAATTAAAAATATGATTCAAGTTATATCAAAGTATAATAAAATGACTCACTTTTCTTCCGCGAACTTTCTCATTTACGTTTTTCCGAAACATGGCCGAACTTCTGCTTCTTGGCTATAACTCTATTAGAAAAAACTGAGTAATGTGAGTACTTCCTGTGAGCAATCCACGCTATAATGACTTAAGAAAGAATACTTCATTAAAGACAGTTTGTCGTAACGCTCTGTGGTTATTTGAAACTATGGATACTTTTGCGTTGCTATAGCAACGTTTTTCTTTTCGTGAAATATGAGCAGATAGCGGAGAAAGAACATTAGAAACCAGTTTCGAAGGAGAAGTATTACATGTTTGTTAAAACTGAAATTTTAGGTAAAAAAATTACACTAAAATTATTATCTAATAAATAATTACAGTTAAATTTTATATGTAGAAAGTATGATGGTTCGATTCTTAAATATCCCATCTTTGATTTTTAATTCTAGGGGAATTAACAGTATATCTTGTCAATGAGGTTTGACATACATCGATCAAACTGATAGTGCTTAAGTTTCAACGTCAAGGAACATGAATCTTAGTTTGCAAAGGCCAAATAAACAAATCTTTTGATAGTTTGTAGGTGCTTATTTTAATTTTCTAATAGTTATTTTTATTTTGCAACAAGCATTTCCTTTACTTTCCCGATTCCCTCCTACATCTCCCTACCATAATGAGTTTCTAGGATTACGTTTCATGTAAATGATATAGAAACAAGTATTCAAACTGAAGTCTAGGTCACTTCACTAAAAGACCTTAAAAGCGTGTGTATGCCTTCCGGCTACGTTGTTGCTGCTAGTCTAATCTTACGGTTATTCGGGCATATTGTTATGTGCGTGCTATCATTCGCCGGTGATCTTAAATAAGTGTCAAGACTGTTAGTTAATTCTGTGCAACTTCGGCTGCTTTTATTTCAGTTACCATTAGATTAGTTCTTATTTTCTGTCTTGATTTAAAGCCCAAATGGAGGCTTATTGTAAGCCTGAGAAGGGGCCAACTTCCTTTTATGCATCTAATCATACATACTACTGGAGACATGAAGAAAGGAAACTGACTGCGGATTGTAAGATTGCAGACTGAATAAATTTTCTCTGCGGATTGTAAGATTGCAGACTGAATAAATCTTCTCTCCACTATAACATTTGGATACCCTCGGGTTCGGATTTTGATGCCATGCGCATTTTTTTTTTTTTCCTTTTTTTTAAGTATTTTCCACTCTTAAGGCATTTTTTGAGTTTTCAAGAACAATTTCGAGGCTTTTAATATCACTTCAATCATTTTTCATTACACACATTTGTGAGAGGCATATTTTAGTAATTAAACTGAAAAACAAAGTTACCCTTGAAATAACAGTCTCAACTCCTATGAACTCATTTTTCCTCGAAGGGAATGTCCTATCCATAGAAAACTAATTATATAATCTGTTAGTCCTACCTATCACGACAGGCCTTTTTCCACAAGGTATATAGGTTGTCACTTCTAAAAGTTTTTACATTCTTAGCTGCTTAAAACTTCTTGTGCATGTTCATCTTCATAGGATTATACGCAGAGTGGGGAAAAGCTATTCCATACAAATACTCTTGGAACTACACTCTCACAACTGTGCGTAGTAAGTTTTTCCAGATCGATAACCACCATCAACCTTTTTTTTTTTTTTTTTTTCGTCCAGCTGGTATAGTCCGTCGGCGGTGAGTGGGGAATGAAGTTGGATCTTTCCATTTAATGAGAACTATCGGAATGCCAAGAAAGCAAAAGACGTTATTCTTTTGCTTCGGAAATACCGCCGAAATGAGCAGTGTACTTTTAAAAATTTAGAATCCTCACTGTATATACACAACCTGTTCTCACACTTTTTAAACGATTTTGCTTAGCTATAAAAAAAAAAAATCACCTGCTTAATTTTTTAATTCAAAAATGTGCAATTAATTTTAATCCCAACTTAGTTTTTGAAAGTATAAATTATGATCTGCTACTTGACGGTTTTGTTTTCATGCAAAATGGCGCTTTTAGAGAAGCAATGGATGGAAGACTATGTTCTTTCCGAAAATAATTATTCCTCTCTAGTTATAAGAAAATGCTGTGAAAGCCATGGTTTTACAATATCTAAAGCTACGATAGGTAATGTTATCAACAAGAAGGGGAATAAAACTTCAAAGTTTGGCTTCAAGTGGAAAAACTGTTCAAACTACATATGCAAAGAAAAAAAAAAAAAAAAAAAATGTTTCGATTGTTGCAAAGCAAGATCTTTAATATTCTAAGAAAATCCGTCAAGTAAAAGAACAGTTTCAAAACCATTAAAATGCTCAGTGCGAACTGTAAACAAAGTGATTAATGCTGATTTGAATCTTAAAAAGGGGGAAAAAACATAATGTGCATCGTCTTTCTAACCGACATATCGCCTAACGCAGGATGCGCTGCAGAATTTTTTATGAGAAATATTAGGTATTTTTGGAAACAGGTAAGATGAAACATTAGCAATGCCTTCGCTGGGCGTCGAACCGCGGACTTGTGGAATACGCGCCCAGCATGCAGACCACTATACCACGAAGGCATGCCAAAATGGCGGGAGAAATACCTAATACATTTATTCGGGCAAACATCGAGAAAGTTGTCAAAATAGATGAATCTTGGGATCATTTAAATAACTATAATAAAAATAGATTCATTTATTATCATCAAAGAGAAGTAAAAAATCTTAAAACATAGTTCAAAGAATCCAAAGGAAGTTTTTCAGAGGGATTTATGCTTGTTCCTGATTTTTCACATAGCGGCAGATTATAAATAAAGAGAGTGGAGAACAAGGTCAAGATCAACTCTATATATTATCAGGAACATATTTTATAATCAGTTTTTAAATATGTAATACTTTATCCACAGTGCCATCAATCCGTAGGACAGCATATCAAGACAAAGCAAGCAGCCACACGTCAAAATCGAGTGTTAATTTCTTGAAAAAAAATGAAACAAGATACGGATACCTCCACTCTGTATCCCGACTAAATCTCTTGGTGTATCTATCAGCAAAGGATTTTTGCGCCTTTGAACTTTTAAAAAGCGGATTGTCGAAACGTCGACCTACAACCCTCCTTGGAATTTGGGAAGATGTTCAAGAGAAATGGGAAAAATACCCAAAAAGCTTTATTGTCTTGGAAATTACGGTGTAGAAAGAGAGTGAAGATTACCAAACAGAACATTTAAAACACAAAAATTTTAGGTAAAATACTTCTGTAAATACAATGAAAATTGTCTAAAAAATGTTTGAAGAGCCTCTGTATTTTGTCTAAATCTCTTTGCAAGGGAGTGGGACGTAAAATGTTTTTTCACATATCAGGTTTAAAACAGAACTTCCTACTTTTAAAATTAAACTTCCCAAGTTCTCTCGCGAGGGTTTATACTCATATGTATAAATTTTTTTTGCTATGAGATTGTCGGTGCAATAAATTAAATTGATAAATTAGGCGATATTTTAAAAAAAGGCCAAAGGTAAAGTTTCAAATACTGCATTTGCTGAATTCAACACTGTTTCGACTAAAAGCTGTGGCTTCCGAACTATGCGGAAAATAGCTCTCATCTTGACACGACAAGCAGACTCTTATGAAACTAAAGAAGCGTTAATGATAGGTGATGCAGTTTCATCAAGTAATTGCAGTAAATCTTAAGAGAAGATTCTTGCAATATAAGAACTTATATACAATACCCACCGGAAATTAAAATTACTTCCATTCAAAACATAGTATTTGAGTTTATTAAGCAGCTGATTTTAATAAATGGCAATTTCAATTTTGCAAATCACTGTACCAACTTTGAACTTATTAGTAAGAAAGTAACAAAAAATTCATCTAAAAATTAAAAATGTAATAATTAAATTATTAACAAAAATTAATGCTAAAATTAAACTATTTGTGAAATTTGGAAATTTTTTTTTATACAAAAATTTTATATTTCCACACATAATGGAATTTTCAACTTTTAGAAAGTAATGCTCTTTACGTTTTATTTCAATTGTATTTTGAAGTTCGTAATATTGGTAGCTTTTCTGACATCCACCTTTCAATTCAAGTGTTCTTAGACTTTCTAAGAATATTTTTTATCCATTAATTCTTGTTATTACAGTAAGTTAAAGGTAAATTCTTGACTTGTTTTGAACATAGAGATTTTCTTGCTTTTGTGGAAATAACCAATGCTTTCTTCTTAATTGTTGGATCCATATTGCACATTCATAGCCCATTAACTTGTTCTTTTAATTTCTTAATATCAGCTGCTGCTTCACTTTTAAACATCAATGTGTGCTCCGGTGATGCTTTGTAAAACAGACCAGTTTCATCTGTTTTATAAATTTCGTGTGGCTTGTATTCTTTTAGAAGTTCAGGTAAAGCGTCTTTTATCTACTTCTCAGCCAAATGATGATCTGCCCCTTGCTTCTCTACATGTAGTTTCCGATAAACACTTTTATTTCTCTCTTTCCATCTTGTAAGCCATTCCCTTGCTTCTCACCATGTAGTTTCCGATAAACAATTTTATTTCTCTCTTTCCATCTTGTAAGCCATTCCCTTGCTTCTCACCATGTAATTTCCGATAAACAATTTTATTTCTCTCTTTCCATCTTGTAAGCCATTCATCAGCTGACACAAAATTTTCTTTTAGTCAAAAGAGCTCTAGAAATTGGAAGAATTTTTAGTCTTATAGCTTGAAAACATTCTAGAAGACTGGTTTCAGAAATTCTCAATTTCCATCGATTTTGCGTTTCTTTGAGACATTTGCATTTTTTACTAGTTCTTTATCACTTTTATTTTTTTGTTTAAATAAAGTGCACAATGTTGTTTGAGAAATTCTCATTTTAAATGCTGCTTCTTTTTGGCTACATTTACCAAATACATCATAAATCTTTCAGCAATTTATCCTTTCCTTTTATGCTTAAATAATTTCGTTTAGCCATTTTCGTCATGTTACAAGTCATGTACACAGCAAATGAAAGATGTTTCTACCAGCGATTTGTTCAAATCCAAAATTTCCATTTCCAGCAGAAATATTGCACTTTTTCTGCTTAGTCAACCTGTCACTTTATGGTTAATACAGCTATAATTAATGCATCTTCCTTTTTGCTTCAGCCAA